TGACCCCTCTCTTTAAAAAATTCCTTAACAAGTCAATAAAATGTTTCCTCAATCTGACACCTGGTATAATTAACCCCTACCATTTGTTCTCACATTTACGAGTAGTACACGATTCTTATGTAATTAAAAATGACATTTAAATATTCTTATTCGTACTCACAGTCGTTAAGCGGTGACATTTCTCATACTAAATCTACACTAAGGGTGGCTTGAGTCTCTGAATGTAGTTTAGGAAGCAGGTATGATTTTCGATTTTAATTTAATTTAAGTTTTTTCTCTTATAGAACACTAGTTATTTGAATTCTATTTAATATAAATTATTTATTATATTAAAATGCAACAGTCTCATGCAAATTATGACTCAACAAAATTACTTCACATTAAATTTAAACTGAAAACTTCATACACGTTTGAACTTTACCTGAGTAGTTTTGCTCTCTTGCGCAACTTTCCTGAAGCGTCTTTGAAAATAAACCTGAGTAAAGTTTTCAGTGAACGCGACACGTCACCGTTCGTTTTACGCCCACTACTATTGAAATATTAGATGAACTTAGTCATACCGTTAGCGTGAGTTTGTTATTATTGGTTATCTCTGTTTTTTTCAAAGAGAAAAAGAAGGACGACATTATGTTTCTGCTACCACTTCAAATTAATCTCAACAGTTGGATGTCGTTCGTTAAATTTATAAAAGAACTAAACAAAACAACAAATGGATAATTTTATGACAGACTAGCGGTTTGTCCCCGCTTTGTACAGGTGGAAATTTATTTTGGGTTTTAAATTAATTTGAATAACGAAGTTTTTGAATGTATTCGTTACATACAAAATTATAAACCCCCTTTATAATATTAGAAGAGAAAATAGAGATTCATGCCACCAAAACGTCAAATATATTTTAAACTAAACGCACTGTCAAGTGTCATGAAATGATGTCATCACATTCTATAGCAATAAATAGTGAATGTTTTAATGTCAGATAACGTAAATATTTTGTAACGGGTTTAAAATTAATAAAAACGTACTAACAAATAAAGTGTCAATCAAATGCAACAATACAATTATAGTAGCGATCGAATATAATTATATCTACAAAGCGAAACTGTGTTCCGCAATTCCTTATTATTTTGCTTTGTGTAAGAACAAACAAGTCATTTACTGATTCGATTTAAAACAATTACTTTAGTTTCACGAGTTGATTTTTATATAATAAATAAACTTTACTTGTTATTAAAAAAGTAGAACATAATAAAACAAGTCAAGGTCATTGAGATTTACTAAGTTAAAACCAAAACTAAGTTATAAACTATTTTAGGAAAGATACTTTAACTAAAAAAATCTGAATCTCGTGTAGTATTTAACATCATAAATGAAAACTACTAAAACAATGAATAACATTTGTATTTCCCATAAATTGTTTGTTACTTTTATTTTTTTAACTGATGTTACTTATTTTGAGTTTTTCTCGCTTGTGAGTTCGGATCGAGTTGTTGTCGAGTTTCCAGTGGTAAGAACTCAGTTGTGCCAGTGATTGAGACGGCGCCTGGTCGCTTCCGCAAAGCTTACTCACATCGTCTGGACACTTGCTCTTAATGATATTCTGGCTTTTATGAACACTTGAAATAACTATGCTCGTGTCTTTTTATGGACTTGACAACGGAATGGTTCTGTTTGCGGTTAAACGCGATTTGCGTTGCGGAAGTTGTCCAGATGCTTTATTGTTTTGTGTTATTTTGTACATTGGTTAGTTTTTGCATGTAAATAAGTGAATCAGTTTGATGGGTAATTCAACTGCAGGTTAGCTTTCCGTTCGTATGAGTGAAGTAGATCATGAACCGGATCGTAAATCAGTTCAATTTGCACTTGCATAGAGGTAGCATTTGCGTCAGCTGCGAGGCACGTGGCATTTCGCGGATTGTCGGCTCCAATAGTTATAGTATCAAGTTGAGCTGTGAGCTGATTTATTTATTGAGCCACAGCTCGGAATCTGATCTGTTGAATTGGTTATGAGCTGATTTACACACGTCAATTAGATAGCGAAAAGGCACTCTTTGTTCTATCGCTGGTTTTTTACTGATATTGAATTGTCCTTTGTTACCCAGGATTAAAAACAAACTCACCTTATTTAGATGTGTATCACATCGGTCAGCCATAATTGATAATACCATCTACTACAGAACACTATCACATTGTTATCTTAGTATAGATAATATTTATTACATATTTAATTATCAGAAGTGAAATTATTTACTTCAAACTTCAACCCTTCATCGTAGTTTAAAAATAGTCCACATTATGATATCGTGGTGCTATCGTGTGACACATTCGTTATCTCAGATAGCCGTATCGAAAGTGCATCACATTAAAGTGGAAAAATCAGTCTTATCCATAGAAGTAGGACTGGAGACAAATAAAATATTATCGTTAAGAACAACTCTGATTTACATACGGCTTTAGTACAAAACCGCAACGTGACACTACAGTTAACACTCTCTTCAGAGAGTCCGTGCGCACACCTTTGACGAAACTATAACACTGTTTAGTCGCGCTTTGATTCCTAAGTTTAAAGAAGCACATAGTTCACAGCAGTGATTGACAGTTTTAAATTGTTTGGCCCAAAGAAATCCGCTATAGACATCATAAGAAACACAGACGCGTTTCTCAGTTGCGATTAACTTTTTACATTGGTTCTGGTTCCTTTTTGCTTCATATTAGGAGGTTATAGTCTTAAAAGATTTTTGCTAAATGCATTATAAAATATAAACACAAGCTAGGTAAACTTCAAAGACATGAATATCTAACGTTTGAGAGTTTTTTGTTTTTAAATTGTAAAGCATGAGAATGCGCTCTTTTTAGAACAAGCGCAATGTAGGTTACTATGCACTTTTTAAAATGAGAATGGAAAAAATGGCTTTGTAGCTTGATTAATGTTACAAAGGATAATTGCTTAAAGGTATAAGGGCTTTGCGTTAACAACCTCGTAATATGAAATATGGTCCGAGAGGAAGATATCTTTTCCTACTAATGTTATAAATGCAAAAGTTTAAATGGATGAATGCATAGAAGTATAATAGAGCTTAAAAGGTAAAGAGCAGTGGAAATTCGGCATAGAAGTAGAGTCTTCTTCTTCATATCTTCATTGCTGAAGGTCATGCTTGCCCTGGTAAGACTTTACCGAGTCATCGACCAACTGCCTCTACGCCGCCCTGCCTTCGGTTCATCTCAAGGCAGTCGGGATGTTGAGTCTCAGTAAGGACTGCACTTCATCGGTCCATCGGGTAGGTGAACGGCCCCGTAATCTTTTGCCCTCGATCTTTGCAACCACTACCAGTTTGTCCAAATTGTCAGGTTGTCTTCGAGTAATATGTCCAAAGTATCTTAGAACTCGTCGGTAGCATATTGTGGATTGCCTGGTAGATATTTTTAATTGTTCAAGAATTGACTTGTTCGTTCTCTTTGCAGAAGTAGAGTATGGTCTGGAAAATCACAAAAGTTAGTTACTCTCTTTTTATTTTACTTGGACGGAGTCGCGAGCGAAAGCTAGTAAGTTATATATCTGTACAAAAAGAGTAACAATGTATAGTAATGGAATGTATAGCAGTTTCCATGCCTTTCCCATGTTAATCAAGTTTTCTAATCGACAATGGGTAAGAGCGGTGACTATGCGACATAACTCGTAATTGTACTCTTCTTTCACACGAATTGATTTAGTGATGTTACACGGTTTTTATTTTATCGATTTAATTAACAAATATTTATGAATCGCAGTTTCCATCTGATTTATCGATGACCAGCTTTTGCTAGGATTCGTCTTTGTCTGTTTGGAGTTAAAAAAATCTAGCAATTTAAAAGCCTATGCGATAATCTAGCTTTCTAATGGTTTTCCTTAATTAGGTCTAGTAGTTTTTAAGTTTATTCGTTACAAACAAATATACAAAATGCTAATATTTTTTCATAATGGTATAGGAGAATAGAATAGAATTGGAATTTAAATATTTCCCCGTCTCCACGGAGGAAAGTTGCTAATCTACTAACCTCCCTTCTGCTAACACTACCAATTTTAATAGACACTCCTCATAAGTATCTTAATTGTTAATACAGGAAGTATTAAACGTTGTAATTGCGTAGTTAAACTACACAAAAGTCTTTTTATACGTCTAATTATATTATTATAATTTAATGTGGGCATATCGCGTACTTTATAGTTGATCTTTCGTTCATCATTTATAGTACGTCGTAGGAAGTTTAATTGCGTTTTTCATTTATTTTACCGTTTTCATCTGTTATCTCTTTTTTGTCCAAGAGAATGACTGAGATGCATATATTTTTACAAATAATTCGTCTCTAGATATGGTTCGTCGATTTATAACCCGACTAATTTAAGATGAGTAATATTCTTCAAAATTATGTAATTCTTTTTAATTGTTATTGGTTCATATTGTGATATTAGACAACACTAGTCAAATACAATGATGGGAAAATTGTATTAGAATATGTTATGTGGCTCGGTTACGATTGAATCATCAGTGGTGAGAATTTTTTTGTTTTAGTTACGACAGATTTTTGTAAAATGTTTTTGCTCATATTGTTAACCATTATAGGGAACCTTTGTATTCTAAATTCTCAAAGTATACAAAAATACTCTAGAAAACAAACATACATTTTTAAATAGATTTTAAGAAGTTACTTTATTAAAATGACCTGTGACATTCCAGTTATCCGAATTTTGTCATCCAACAGATTACAAACTGAATCGTAATTATCTTATTAATTTGATAAAGAGTTTATATCTGTTTATTATTTTATTATATTTGTGACCAATTAATAAGACGAGACCTCAAAGTCTCGAGACCCTTGGCATTAAAGGTCTTTTTAAACCGACGCCTTACCAAGTTGAGTGCGACAGCGCAAAAAGACACAATTAAGATAAATCTCGAAATTGCATTCCGTCAAGGCCACCTGCTTCTGTTGACGGTACTAGTTGCGCCCGCGCATCGCACGCGCCGCGAACTTCAGTCGATCGCTGACGCTCGTTTGGTGTACACGTCTGCTCGATCGTAGTGGTGTAGCTATCGCGATTTTTATCGATAAAAGTTGTGTTGTGTTTATTTTTTTTTATCGAAAAGAGTAAAACAGATTTTTTAGTGCTGTGATTTTGGGCTGGTCTGTTTCTTTTTCTGTAAAGGTATGTCTTTTTTTTAAATTTTATAATTAGTCATTTTTAATTGAATGACAAATTAATTGTGTTTTTAGGTTATGTTTTTCTTTCTTTCTTTCTCTCTCTTTGATTCGTACAATGAATTACAATCAATATTGTTATCAAAAAGTGAAGTGTTTGCGTCAATGTATAATCTAAATAATCCTTGAAGTAGGTACCAATCGCTAACAATTGAATAATCTACAAGATCATTTAATTTGTTTATGGTAATATGATTAATGTCTATGGATTTATCATTTTTTCAACTGTTTTTTTGGCGTTGAACACTGGTATAAAAATAAAAAAAATGTCTTGTCAGTTAGGTGTAAAAAATTGATAATATTTTTGAACACGTTAAAAACATTAACTACAATTTATTAAAAGTATTCTGCATAAAAGAATTATAATAAATAAATAAATATAAAATTTGTTAGTTTGCATTAGATAAATTATTCAATACATAAATAAAGTAATAAAATTTTGTATTTTATTAAAAAAAAAGTCGATACAAACCTGTTAGTAAAATAATGACATTTCGAAATATGTTTTGGCTTTGTATTATTCATGGCTATATGCTGTTATAGTCAAATTATGTTAAGTATTTCAAAGGAAATAAAATATTCGGTCTCTATTCCAAGGAACTCTGCGCCATTTAAACCGTCTGGGGGATATTTTGTTTATTTTTAGACGTTTCGTTGCCATCTTTGGGCGAAAGTATTCATTTATTTATATTGCTTTATTTGTCATTCTCGTGTTAACGATGTACAAAGAATTTCAAATAAGACTATGAATCAATAACTTCGATTTTTCAAAATATCCTTATAATTACGTATTTATGGAATCCCTCTCATTTTTAACAAAAAACATAATTTGTGCCTTCTTTTTCTACACATTATCTTAATGAATTTGATTTCAAATCCATAGATAGACAATGTTTAATTTTTTGTGTAAGGTATTTTTAAAAAAATCTACGAAAAAGCCCTCACTTTAACAATTCAAAATAAAAAGTGTTTTCAGATTAAAGGAAGTCGTCATTAAATTAATCTGCTCACGTCAAAGGGAACTTCTTTTTCCAGTTATATATTTAGCGTCTTCTTTAAAGTGACTTATTTCTTTTGCCTTTCGTTAATATTTATATCTTAAATAACTAATCAATCTCAAACGTAGAATTATGCTAATATAGATAAAATCTTTAATTAATTAACTCTAGATCTAGTCTAGATCTCTACCTAGATATTTTTTCTTCAGCACGATCATTAGTGTTCTGTTCGTTTACATATATGTTGTTTTTAATACGTATTTAGTAACTTACAGTACAATAACATAGGTGTGAAATCAATACGTAGGCGTTAATGTTATTGGTCAACATATTAATTAAAATGACACATCCATATCTGTTCGTACGTAGGATGTTTCGTACTCCTTGTTTCTATCATGCTTCGATTGTACACAAAAAATATGATTGCTTTATCGTATTCAAAAATTAATATGACAGGATTACTCAATGATAAACATTTGATAAATATTAACTAGCAACAAAGAAAATGTATATTTTTTTATCTTAATAGTGTTGTATCTATGTATTTATTTAATATTTTACTAGACTTTAAAGAATCGCAGAGTGGAGAAACACCCTTCGAGAGAGTGTCACGGAGAGTGGTCGCGACCCTCAGGAATTAGGAAACGATCCGGAGAGAGAGAGAGAGACTTTAAAGACCTTAAACTTGGCTTAACCTTTAAACTATTGTGTCTTGAGGTAAAACTGTATGTAAATTCCTATTGGAGTTTCTGTATATTGCTGGAAAGACGGCCTGAATGTGGTCTTTGTTCTGGGGTATTTCCAAATCGATAGCATAGTTATTCCAGAAATGGGGCGTATTTTCTTCTTTATAGTGGGAAAAACATTTTGAAGTTCTTCGATATGAGTGCCGTACTTATCAAAAACTAGCGATGTCCGTCGATTTCGCACGGGTTTTTCAAATATCGAATAACAAATCTGGATTAAAAATTACGATCGCGTTTAGTACATAAACACTGTTTTTAACTTTTTTAAATAAAACTTAAATATTACTATGTTTATTTACGCAAGGACAGCGACAAAGTAGAGACGTCCGCGAGTCTATCGATAACACACTTTATCTTACCAAAATGGCGGACCGATTGCAAGCGTTTTATCGACCGATATGTTATTGTTTTATTTCCTTTCATGCGACTCTCATATCGAATATCGTATTTGCATGCCTGGAATTTAATTTATAGCACCAATAAATTGTTTGTATACAATTTTGATACGAAACAATTAGCTAATAAACTTCGAATTGTCAAAGAATTAAGTATAATTTAGTCTAGTTAAAAACAAATCGTAGGACACTATTTGCCATTTTACTATATCTTATCTTACTAGTTTTATAAATGCGAAAGTTTGGATGGATGTTTATTACTACTATCCAGAACAGCTCAACGGGTTTTACTGAAATTTACCAAAGATGTAAAGTACTATAGTCTGACGGAAAACATAGGATATTAATTAAGTTTTTTTTTTTACTTCCGCGCTGATAGACTCGCGGGCAACAGCTAGTTAAACTTAATTAGGAGTGGAGAAAAAGAAATCCATCCGTGCAACTATTTTTAAAATTCAATATACAACAAACAGAATCTCTCTTTCCAATCACTATATGTACATAATGCATGTACTTTCTAATTGGGAGTGTGAAATGTAGTTGTATTTGAATACTCTTATGTGCTAGAAATTTAAATTGGCTTTAAGATATCATTGAAAATAGCTTTTTTTTAAAAAAAAAATCAAGTATATAAGTCATGTGTAATTTGATATCATATTCTTTGTACGTTGAGTATAATAAAATGATTAATTAAAATTTGGTCTGTGGCACTTTGAAGTAAATGAATCGATGTTAGGCACACCATTCGGTATTCTATCTACGCATTGGATTGTATTTTAGCAAACTTTAGTAATACGTTCACAGAATCGATACATAACATACGGTTTTTTACGTAAAGTTATTTTCTTCTAATATGTATTCGTTTAATGTTCTTTGGTAATTTGAAACCAGATTGATAACGGAATAAATTTCTCTACATAAATTACTTTATAATAGACTTTTTATTTTTATCGATATATCGATAGTTACCTTAACATGTCAGTGACATCACTTTCCTGTTTGTTACAAGGTCGAATTTGGCGTGAAGTTGTTACATGCGTTTGTTCGTATTTCACGCTCATCTGCCAATAGACGCAAATTCGATGTGATGACAAACACGACCGTATTCGAGGGTACTATTGCCTATTGTATGTAAATATTGGTAACTATAGTGGACACTTCAGTTTTGTTTTGTCAGCAATTCAAGACGTGTATGGCAACTAATGTGAAGTGTGTAGATATGTTAAAAAAGTAAAATATAATATCGTATTCTATATTCAATGTAGTCAGAGATTAGTCTCTCCCTGATTGATTTCGAATATAAAATCGTTTTATTTAAAACAAGTTTCAGGAGAAATTAAGTTGTTGATGTTATACTCAACAATAATTCGATAATATTAACTTATTAAAATTTTCTTTAGACATTATACTATATGATTTATAACACGGCTAAAACTCACGTGGAAACTCGTCGGTGCCTACACCGAAAGTTCCCACGTGAGTTTTAGCCGTGTTATAAATCGTATAATTCGGGACCTTTTGAAAATTAACTTAGGAAAAATATTAAAATATAGTCTAAAAAAACTAGCCCGCGAGTTATCTCTTGTAGGAATTTTCTACATTTCATGGAATTTACGAGATTTATGATTCACAGTAGCGAGGTATAAAAGATTCCTAGAGTTAACTGTAATAATATGAAAATACTTAAAAAGAATATAATTTTCATCAGAACAATCGCATTTAAAAATCTAAACAAAGTGCATACATATATTATTTAATCTTAAAATTTATAATCAGATAAGAAACAAATTATTGCATCACTAAATGAATATGCAAAATAGAGCCGCTGAGTCACATTTGAATTTTGTGCGAAATTAAAACGTAACATCAATTACTATCTTCGTACCCACCACTAGTGAAACACGCATAGAATAAAATAGGCGCAAAGAACGGGCGACGCGCTGTAAACAGATTAGCCTAGTAACGGGTACCGTCAGCATAATACAAACAGTCCCGATATTTTTTGTAAAACGAATGAAAGGAAAAAAAACGAGACCATTTTAAACAAGTAACAATGTTTTATTTTGTCGTTGCCCAATGGTATTGACATCAAGTGTGATGGTACTTACATATAAAAGCGTGAAATAAGAAATTGTGTTGTGTTTTGACTTAATTGGACAGGGATAATGAAATGATTAAGATTCAAATCATAAACGATCTGAAATTTATTTGTTCTTTATACTTTTTTGCGGACGCTACATGTAAAGTGACAACGGAAGTTAGCGGAGCGCGTCGTTACGCAACCGGATCTCGGAGCTATTGTTTCTGCCGACCCTACCGGGGACGTGTTACAACCCAACCTGCCTTACTAGCGTTGCCGAACACGTCTCCTGTTGAGGTCAATCTGCTTTGTTCTAATTAATATCGGTTTTAATATCATCAGACAATCACAATCGTTGCCATTAAGGGTTTCTCTGATGAGACGTTGCGTAAGAAATCTTAAGACCCTTAGGACCTGCTTGAATGAGTAATAAAGCTACAGCAGTTCACATTTTTTAAACTGGTATGTTTAAAGAAGTCTGTGGTCAGTAAATCAAAATGTCAAAAAATTAACCAAGAAAATAATAAAATCAACATTTTAATTTCAATTGTAACTGTTTTGCAAAATATGAACAATAAAGTGTTATTTCGAAATACTTTGTCGTGGTAATTTTGGTTACATTAAAGGGCCACATTCGGCTCGAAAGTTGTCGGTGAGGACACCAGACAAGTGCGTAAGACGTTTGAAACGAAGGATGTTTTCAAATATTGTTTACTTTTCTTACTAAATCTATGGCATGTACATAAGTAACACTTACTATATATGATCAGAGTTATTTATAGATATATCAAACGCATTACAAACGCGTATTTCTACGTAAAACCGCGTCTTCGTTACATATGAAATAATCTTAAAAACACGTTTCACGTCATTTGCCACAAATATATAGTTTATTCATTTACAGTAATTTCTCAAACATCGTCAAGGAAAATTTGGGTTTAATTACAAATAAGTAAATTGCGTAAATACAATAAATGTGACGCATAATGGAATTTTATAGTTGTGCGGTTTAAATGACAACATAATATACGAAATTATCAATTCGACTGCAATTTATATGAAAGTATTGTATCACCTTCTTATTCAACTCCCGTAAAATCGGTGCGACAGGTTTTTGTCCTCCACATAACTCTATCATACGTCATCTCAGTCATCACTCCCATTGATCATGTCACCTTTCACGCAATCCATCCATCTCTAGGTCTACCTCAACCGTTGTATCCTTACACACTCATAACTAACGTTCTTTGTAACATGCAATTCATTCCTTATAACATGCCCAAACTGCTAACCTTTTACTCCTTACATTCTCTACTACTTGGGCTATGTGAAAGTAATGTAGTTTATTGTAAAATAATTTATTAAAAAAGAGCCAAAAAACAGCTCTTTCTCAAAAAACCTAACTGGAATTGTCTATTTGTAAGAAAAAGTTGATAATCGTAAACTTATTTAAAAGTGTGTTTTTTACGACACTAATAAAGAAAGCCTATCGTCAATACATATTTTTAACTAGCTGCTGCACGCGACTTCGCCCGCGTTAAATTAAAAAATATAGCCTATGTTACTCACAGATAAATTACCTTTCTAACGGTGAAAGAATTTTTAAAATCGGCCCTGTAGTTTTTGAATTATTTCAATACATACAAAAATACAAATCTTTCCTCTTTATAATATAAGTATAGATTACACGTAGGATTAGTAAAATCTAAATAATGCAACCTAGGTAAATTTAAATCTTTTTATTTATTTCTTTGTAAAAAGATAGATAATTTTATTGTGTTTTTTTTTTGTATTTGATGTTTTTGCAATGAAAACCCACGTTAAATTCCTATACGATTTCCAAATCACTAAGGAAGTATTTAGACTAAGTAAAGATTAGACACGGCACCATTATGTTCCTTCATAAATCAGTGACGTCACTGGTCGTGAGGACATTGACCTTTGAGTTTTTTTACATAATTTGTACAGAAGATTAACCAAAACATTACAATTAGTTGTATTTTAAGTAACAATAGTATACAATAGTCATATTATTCGATTTTGTAATATTTTGGTTATCTTCTTGTCCTTAACAATACGTGGGTCTAAAATGACAGTCTATAATAGTACAGTTGTCAGATTTGGCAGCTCTAAATTCCGCGAATCTATGCAGAACGAAATGTTTTGTCTAGAAGAGCGTAAATCATGCAGCGGAAGGCAATACGTACATCATCTAAGACTAGTTCGCTAAGATATTTGGGACATTTGAATAGAACTATAATAAATTGGGAATATTACGATAATTCTAATATTTCTTGTCACAATGGATAGGGACACAATAAACCATTAACAAAAAACAATAAGTAAGACAAAACTACATATGGCCGATTCAGAAACTAATGAAGTGATTGATGAGGAATTTTTAAATTTATCCTTTATTTAATTACAATCTATCTTCCAAATTAAAGAAACAAAAGAACGTCAAATTTTAAACATTGCGGTCAATACGCTGATTATGAATGTTTCCCTGAATTGTTAAAACTTAGAATCCCACGTGTTCTTCGATACATTAATCGTTTTTTGGAGAAACGTAGTAACTAACATCCATCTCTCCAAATATAATTAAGATAATATTGGTATTAAGTGTTTTGATATTGCATAATATTACGGAAAACTGTTTTACTTTAGGAATTTAGTTATAAATATTAATTCACGCATATCTCACGCTTCGTGTGGTAGGATAGCGTGGCGTTGACGAGCCGCAATTATGAGAGAGTGCGATAATTCCACGTACTCCAGTTACGATGTTTGATAGATAAATTAAACTCTTTCCGTTAAAAAACGTTTCTTCCGCGACAATTTCTTTAAACATAGAAATTATTTGTAAATACTTTAAGATTGTGCGCACATCTGAAACTAAATTATTGTAAAACTGTTTAGCCTCGTTTAGATTTTTATGAGCTTGGAGGTGCGCATACTACTCGATTATTAGTTGTACAACTAAACAGTTGAATTGGCTGGCGAAACAATCGACAATCGCACAACTGTTGTGCGATAGTTTAGTCAAAGGGGGGCGCCTCCTCTAACATGATTATTACCAAGCTAATAGTCAACATATTTTTACAAACATAGTTTTTTTTACAAAAGTATACACGTTTTTTTAGAACGAACGACGCTGTTACTTGTTTTCTTTATTTTAAGGCCGGTTTCCCAGCTACATTTAACCATTCGTTACTGTTTTTGATTCGATAACATTAAAATACATTTCCGAATTAAGTAACTTGAGTTTTAGTCTATTGAGGTCAACTTAATGTTAGTGTTAAAATAAATTCAGAAATTTAATTATATTCAGAAACTTCAGCAACCCAGCATTAAAGATTCACATTATATTAAAGTAAGTACTCATAAATGAGGTGACATCGATGCGTCAAATCGACGGACGTCCTCTATGTCCGTTTTTGCGTTTCAAAGATAAGATCGAAGGAAGTCTTAGCGACGTACTTCACAGAGTATTGAACCGAACTGTAAGACCATGAGCTACTTAAATATCAGTTGACTGTACATCAATTAATGCAAATTGCAATTTAAAGGTTATTGTTTTGCGGAAATTACAACGAACTTGACACTATCTTAAGTGAGATAATAATTTTCAATCAATTTTCATTTAATTTTAATGAAAGTTCTTACAATCGCATGCATATAAATCTAGGCTCAAGTCAAAGTATTACATCTAACTATAAGCGTCACAGCCATGTTATGCTTTAATAAAATATAGTCTTCATTACCTGTTATGTTTTCTTCCAATTTGCACAAAATAACCTTACCAATATGGCCGTCGTGTCGTCGAGCTAATGCAACACCCTTATTTTTGACATCCGACTACTATCCGATTATTTAATTACACTAAACGGATTTCGATGAAATTTGGTATAGTTGTAGAAGAAAGTCTGGAAGAACACATAGACTTTGTACACGTACACTTTGGCTTTTTTTTTAAATTCTTCGCGGACGGAGTCGCGGGCGAAAGCTAGTAATATCTAGTGGCTAATGTAAGAATCATTTCAGCCTGTGGCCAGGACAATGGTAAAACTTCGCAGTTGGCGTTGTTGCGTGACGGCCGTCTCTACGAAAAGTACTAGGATGTCATAAAAGATAGGGTTGTTAAGGCACCATATTTTTATGTAAGTTTTTGAGTTGCATGTATAATTTAAAACATCCTGTATATGAGATTTTTAGATTGTCTTCTATTCTATGGTGTTAGATGATGTCAGTGACGAGATTTAAAGACGTTTAGATATACATGGCTGAATTCAGCAGGTGGTTGAAAATTACTTGTTAAATAAACCTGTTTCGTAATATTGTCGGAATTATGCAATCATTTCGATTATTCATCCTATTTGTAATCAATCATTCATGAAATTGAAAATTATGTTGTTAACGAACAACCACAACTTCCTATCGAAGATTGTGAATCGTAAAAGGATACAAAATTTTACTTTTGTCAAAAAAAAAAAAGATTTATGTATAGCATTTAGTTACAATAAAAATATAACAATAGGAAACTTGTTGTCAATCATAAGTATAGTTTATTCGGTTACAATAGAGCTCAAATTGCAATCAAAATGAATACCGTGACAACAATCTAATTAGCTCAAGGACTAATCAATGATAATGCTTTGTTAATCTTACTAATATTATAAATGCGAAAGTTTAGATTGATGGATGCTTGTTAGAAGTTACAGCCAAAACGACTGAACGAATCTTGATAAAATTTGGCAGATATGTAGAACGTAGCCTAGAAGAACACATAGCCTACTAAGTTAGTAATAGTAGTAATTTTATATTACAAAGACAGACAAATAATTTTGAATGAAAAATCAGAAGATAGGGTGTCTACATTTTTAGGGTATTTTAAAATGTCCCGATTATTCGTACAAAATTCCATATAGAAAAGTGTAGACCACCCAAATAGCTCGCGACAACATTATATTTAAAAAAAAAACTTGTAGAGATGTGTAAGGCAATTGACCGATTAACATCACTGAACGCTCAATCACAGTTCTGCCATGGGTTTTTTGCTCAGTCTAGACATTACGAAATCTTGCTTTTAATTGACAATAGACCACGAAATAATGAATGATGGCTTCAAATTGTATGAAATTCCATTCAATTGATGTTTTTTAAAATAATTTATTGCTGCCAAGGTTTTACTAATAATGTTCTAAGAATATGGTTTGCGTTAATTACTCGATATTATCCTGTTTTTGTGTCATGTAATAGTCTCTTGAAGTATCGTTTTTTTGCATTTTCAATATTGATATGGGTTTATAGTCTACGTTAATAGATTTCACGGGCATCGCGACAGCTACCTCCCACTAGAATATTTAAATAATAAAATAAAACAATCTGTAGTTAAGCTTTATTCTTTTGTTTCAGAACCCGTTATGTCCAATTGAAGACCAATAAGCGAGTTACAACGATGGCGGCCGCGGGCGCTTTGCTTCTGGAGACGAGGCCGTTCAGGCCCTTTAAGTCCTCCGAGGAGTACTTGTATGCTATGAAAGAGGATCTTGCGGAATGGTTAACATTATTGTACCCGGAACTGAGGATAACAGCTGAGAATTTCCTTGATAGACTTGACACAGGCGTCGCATTATGCCGGGTAAGTGCTTATCTAATATTTGATCTGCAAAGTACACTGTTGATGAACGTCGAACGATCCTATACGTTCCTTGAGTCTTGTTTCGTAAATTATAAGTTGACTTGGCTTCAGAACAAGCAACAAACAAGCTTTTACAATTTAATTTTATAAAAGAAATTGAAAGTAAACTTACTTTGAACGACAGAAGTGATTCCAATAAAGGTACTGATAAAACATTAAAGAACCTGAGATTTTAAAGGCATTTGAAATTTGTAACTTTTATTTAGAATTTTGATCGATCCAGTGTTGTTTGATAATATTAATGGCTGTACAGTATTATTTACAATTACAATATAATAACTTCTTATACAGCGCTATTTTAATGGTTGTCCTTTGTTTTATGTCGTTCGTGTTTCGATTTTCACGTATTCATACATGATTTATTGATCCTTGATTAGTTACTGACAATTGTTATTGAAGGAAAAGTGTTCGGAAATGATGAATGTTAGATAAGTTTTAGCTATTCTAGTAATTTATGTATTGAATATTTTATCTATTTGTACTTTTATGCGGTACCTTTTATCTTCGATAATATTTTCTTGGCCTCTTTTCCTACGATAAATTATACATGTTATTTACATTAACAATCGAGTTTTGCACTTCAATATAATTGATTCTTCATAACTACAATCAACAAATCTAATTTTCATCATAAAGACACCAGCAATTTAATTGTACAGTTCAACTTTTCAGTTAAAAAATCTGTAGCAGGCTTAATTAATAAAATAAAGATAAATCTAAACTATACGTTCTCATTTTATAAATTAAGATATAAAGGAGCCAGTAAAAAAACATATAATGCAAGTGAGTGTGAAAGTGAAACATTTACAATGATTTCATTTTCAGACAAATTAAAGTGATAAATGTGGCAACTATACTGCTTCATAATATTTTGACGATGTCCTTGTCGGTTGAGCAATTTCTAATATTCTAATCCTTTTGCCACTTTCTAGCTCTCTCTTTAGTTCCATAACCTTTATCTTGGTCTTTCATTTTCGTATTCTCTATTTTTGTTATCACTTTTATGTCATACCAGATGTTTCTAAAATTGTTCTATTTTTCCTCTGTAAGTAATAAGTATATGGCTACCAGCTTTTGCCCACATCTTTGTCCGTGTGGAATTAAAAAAGCAAAAGTAAGTAGCCTATGTGTTCTTCCAGAATTTGGTCTTCACCTATGTCAACTTTCATCGAGACCTATTTAGTAGTTTAGGCTACAAACTCTAACAAACATCTATCCACCTAAACGTTCGCATTTGTTATTAGTAAGATTGAGTTAAAAACGAAATGTACGTGGTTACGTTGATGTAACTTCGATGTAGGAACGCTACACTTTTTGTCGATATTATGCATTATTCAATGTAACAAATAAGGAAATTGTGTGCAACACGGGTGTATTATCCAGTATCGTTTTAGTCTCGCTTCATAACGACTTATCATGCTTGGTTTTTGTAGTTACGTCGCTTTGCTGTGTACGATACTTTTTATGGAAATTACGTTGGATATTAATTTTTAGTTAGCTGTTATGTTCTTTAGTTCATAATTGTAAAATAAAATATACATTAACATATCTTACGAATATCATAAATGCCAAAGTTTATATGGTTTTTTCTTAGAGTTTGAAGCGTAAACTGCAGAACTGATTTTTATGAAACTTGGCATAGATATAGAGGACAATCTGGTAGAACACATAGGCTATATACTTTTGTTTTTTGTTGTAATTTCACGAGGACGGAGTCGTGGCCCAAAGCTACTCCTACATTTTAGTCAAACCTCCAAACTGCATTTTTCTTTCATAAAGTTACATACAATCTTATCCACTTATGTCTATCAATAATTGTTTCTTCAATGTTTCTTAGTTATTTTTCACTTTCGGTGACTTAAAAATGAATACTTTTTAAGTTCTTTTGTAGATTTAAACTTATTAAAGCATTCAAGCAATGGCGTGGTCCAAGGCGCGCCATTACGACCGGTGTTTCTTTATGTTCAGTTACGACACTTTTAATTGCCACAAGCCGATGAAGTATTTAAAGACGATTTTAATTTATGTGTAATGAATTTTAACTTTCAGTAAAAAGTAATATGACAGGAATTATACGCACATGGATATTGTAGAATTCCAATAAACATTGAATAAGATGTTTACTTTCAAAGAATTCGTGATGTTTTTAGTTGAGACATCGATATCGATGAATCCGACGAAAAATCGATATTCTCTTATACGGTTTATAAATGTAATTATTTTGATATTAAATCATCTGTTTGATGAAGACGATGAAGATGGCTGAAGGACGGGGAAGAAGAGATTCAGGGCCTACAAATTGTAAATTGTCTGATAACAATCCAACGTGTAAAATGTGATGGAAATATCGGATTTTGTTCCCTTATCTGTGACGTCATTTTTAAGCTATCTGAGTCTCTATCAGCCAGTGGTGGGACAGGGTTTAACATTTTATTATTAGTGATATCAAAATGTTGCCTATGTTGTTGACGAATTAAATAAATTACTGCTGCACTCATAATTCAAAAGTCAGTTCTGCAGTTATTTAGTGTCGATTTATTGCTTTGTTTGTGTTGATATTTTAAAATTAAAAGAGTTGGTTTTCACTATCGTTTCAAATATGTGAAACCACCTCTCTCCTCTTTCATCTCTTTGAAAAAGAAAGGGATAGCAATACATGTTGTTCGGTATTGAATTTGCGTTTGTTATGAAATAACATAACATTCTCTTATCGTATCTGATCTTTTTCACAATCATACCCATCGGTTACGGACCTATGCCTCGGGCAGATTTTTGTACATTTATATCGCAATATACGTATATAAATGTAACATTTCAAATGCGACATTTAACAAAATAGCTGTCAGATTATTGTTACTAGTACTTAGCACGTGCTAATAGTTACGAAACTGGATTTATCGAAGTTACTAAAGAGCTGTTACTTTTTTCAACCTTTATGAATATATTATATATTTGATAGTCAATTATGTGTTGCTCAATCGTAGGAGGTTGAATTTATATTAGCTTCGATTTTAATATTAAACTAAATTGAATCTTAACAAAATTAAAACGTTACTACAATGTCCCCCACGTATGTATTCTGAAGTACGTTACTCTACAGGACTGAATTTTTAAAAATGCATACGTATAATAGGTAATTGAATATTTTTCCGAATAATTAATTAGACTTTCTTTTCTTTTTACCATTTCAATTAAGCTTACAGCTTATTTTATTAACAGTCGAATAGAATTTGAACCCATGATTGCAGATCGTTAGTCCGTCTTTTAAAGGTAAATTAACTAATTCTTTTACATCATATAATGTATAAACTAGATTAGTAATTTAGTCAAGTACCAACTAACTTAGTAGTTAAAATACTAATTTGTTTATTTACTCGACTGAATTGTTTAGTTACTTAAATACTCGAAACTATACTAAATTTCTGGTGCGAGCTAGCATAAGAGAACTCTATCAGTAAGGTTTAAAAACTCAGTAGAATGATATTGCCAATACGGTTTCCCAATAGAGTTATTTTGTCTTCATTTATTTGACGTTGACTGAAATTATCATTATAGTGGAAACAATTGTTTCACAATGCGTTGGGTGGTATTGCGACAAAGCACTCGCTAATTCGTTTCAACACACCGAGGACGTTGGAAGTCATAGATTCTTCTAATGAGCACTTTACACTTATCGATAATTTACTTATCACGATATACCTTTCGGCCCTAGAAAATAATATAAATATAGTAGATACGGTTTCATACGATATGTCACTTATGGCTTTAAAACAATATAATATTTTCTTTCTTCTTTCGACTGTATAGTGTTGGTCCCTTATCGTTTTTTTTATAACATTAGGTGGCAAACGAGCAAGCAGCCACTAGAATCCGCCAAAATGGCGAAGCGATCGCTGCCCATAGACTTCCGCAATCGCAGATGCATTGCCTACCCTTATATGACGGAGGAGGAGACGCATATAAAGAGGAAATTTCCCCTTCCTATGCATCTCCTCCAGCGACAAATCCACTGCCTCTTCCCTACCTTTCATTAGAAATGGATGGTAGAGAGGAAGAGACTTAAATTAGGCCTCCGGCACCACACTCGTCAGAGGAAACACGGAATTGCTTCCATTTCACGCCTGTCTTCTGTGTGGTCGTGGTATTACACCGGGCGTGCCGGCCCATTCGTGCTAAAATTTAATTTAAGTTAATAGTAGTTTAAAATATCAAGTAAACTATAATAATAATATGGCATGATTCACATAATGTATACCATAAATATGTTTTGACTAACTGATACATTCTATGTTTATTCGTGGAGTATTACAAAATTGCGTGTCAAGATGCGTGGAATAATTAGTCTCTCTCATACTCGATCTAACGACTCTAAGGTTCAAGTTATAATGACTATGACATAGTCAACCACGCTGGTCATCAGCGCGTTGGGTGACTACACATCTATCTTTGAATTTCTTCGCAAATTCACACACCGCACAGCCGCGTTGTAGAACGGTCTGTCCTCGGCGGTATTTCCAAACCAATACGACTTTTGGTCCTTCAAGAGGCAAGCTTACAATTTCTTTAAGGACTGGCAACGCATCTGTAGTTCCTCTGGTGTTGCGGATGTCCATGGGCGTCGTTGACCACCTCTGTGTTCCCGCCGCTCGTTTGCCCCATTCCCTTATAAAAAGCAGTACATATATAGTTTGCACCACGATGTTTTCTTTCGCAGTGTGATTGTTAGAGAAATATACATGATATTCGACCAACACATGGATAAATGAGAGGGGTCTAACTGGACACTTTTGGGCTATAGTGGGCTCCGATTAAACGTTTAAAAACTGCGCCAGTATCTTTCTAATCAATTATGTATGTTTGTCTCATCGACACTCCAATATAAACAATACTTCGTTTCGCGTATGTGTAACGCAAATCGTACATTTGTGTCTGATTCATAT